AAAAACTGGGCTTTTAAATTACCCCAGTCCTAGTTGCTGCATCGAGTCTAGACACTAGGGTTTTGCATAGACCATCGAGAAAGTCACCATCCCATTCAACGTAAATTACATCACGGAGGAAAAACATCGTTATCTTTACCGTCAGCATGCAAAGTGCAGGTACTTACAGAAAGGCGCGGGAAGAAGTTCGTGACTTTGAGGTCAAGGCCACAGTTGATCTTGAATGGGAAGGTTGGTCTCCTATCTTGTCCCCTAGACTTCACAGGGACTGGGAGTGCATGGAGAAAAATAGCACGTCACCGTATAAAGGTCCAGTGTACTATAAGCCTGTTCCCTGTGACAATCTCGACCGTCCGGGGGTGTACGAGTTGGCCGTAAACTTGCCCGTGGAGCCGTTTGAGTTTGAAGGTGATTCAAACGTTTGGCCAGTTACGGTGTATGTGGCGCATTCCACAGGTCTTTCAGGCCGCCTGGATTTGTTCTTGTGTTTTCCTGTAAAAGACAGAGTTTTGGATGCTCTGAGGTAAGTTGAAACGCGTGCGCGCACTACATATTGCATGAGAATAACGACGTTGTCCACAATCGTTGGTTCAAGAAGCAGCACGAACGCTAGCGGAATTTGAAAATGTTTAGTTAAAAGTTTTGAGGTTACAACTGAGCATCACTTCCACACAAAGACAAATGTACGCAAACACGCGCGAAAACCAAGTCACGCTCGATACGATACACGGGTGAAAGTAAAACGTTTCATTTTTTATGAATAGTGAATGATCACTTTTGTATAAAATGCCATTCAATTGATTGATAAGTTCCCTGAAGTAAAAGGATGCCACATTGATTGTATAATGACTGAGAAAATATTTGGAGCAATTTGCATTATTTAAGTTAGGATATGGTCTGAGGGCTTTTAAAACTCTTCTCAACTTCTGAATGAATCTAAATTGAGCAAATTTTATACATTTTATACTCTGAATAACTCTGTTCTCATTATGTAGCAACAACAATAGCAACAACAACAGTAATAATGATAATAATAACAAAACATTTATTCGCATATGCAAGTAAAGGATGGGTGTTACAATCATTTTAAATAAGATATTGTAATTACTTTAAAGGAGAAATAATTATTATTAAAAGAAATTGAACTGAATTTACAAGAATTGCGTTGAAAATAAAACCATGGCTACTTATATTTTTCTGTATTTTTTTTTTTTTTTCAGAAACGGGTTAGACATTTGGGTTAGAAGAGCCTCGGTACCATTCAACGATCCTCAACTAGCGCCCCTAGCGGAGGATTGCCTGACTAGAAAGCTGGATTATGCATGGAAGCCTTCGGTATCGACATGCAGGCGCATCACACGGAAAAACCTTAGTTTTTAAACATTTTAAAGCTAACAAAACCAGTTAGATCTTTATACAACAAATAATGAATTTTCCTGGAAATTCCGGCAATTTCACCAAAATATATAGGCTACTCCCAAACTGTTGTGAAAATTACGGTCTACCGCTATAAGTCCAGTTTCGAGTCGTTAATTTTATATTCCAATTTCTATCAGAGTGATGTTCAACAGTTTCCTTCTCCATTACATATATTTATTGTTACCCAAGGAAAGTTTTCTAAGCACAATATCATTTTTGTAACTCATGTGAGTTGCAACTGAATCCTAGAAATAAAACAGTGTAACGGATCATCGTCTTTTGTTAATTAACAGCTGTAACGAGATTGAGGCTTTACCAGCAATCGGTGACCACTCTTCCGAAAATAAACCAGTCTCTGCTGCTATAATCTCTTTCTCTAACTAAGATAATACACCCTAGTGTGCTTATATGCAATGTACTAGTATGGTTGGGATTGTACTTTGCAGTCATTAATTTGATTGCAATCAGAGAATATGGTATCAGATTAAATTTTTTTGTGGCTAAAAGTACGTTTTCCGATTTTACGTTTTTCCCGCCTTTTTTTCTTGCAGTTAAGTCATTCCAACTTATATGGCAACACATCCGGTGGCCTTGACCCGCTGTTCTACCTAGCTACTTGCACCCCTCTTCTTTCAGGTATCTGGCCATACCAAGAGGAAGAAATCTCCACTCCTTCCCGTAGTCGCAGTAGCCGCGCAGCCAAATCTTGGGCTCGTCTTTTTCTATTTTTACGTCACCTTTAGTAAAACAACGAAAAAAATATGAAAACTAGTACTAAATGAGGCCAGAAAAAATTAACGAGTTGGTGAACTTAGCATCTCGAGGAATCAGTTTTTTTTTTTTTTTTTTTTTTTTTTTTTTTTTTTTTTTTTGCGAATGGGAAAGATGCATTGGACTACGTTTGGTAAGTGGCAAAATTTGATGTAAGACCACATGAAAAATTTTGAAACAAAATTTTCTCAATGCTAAAAATCGCCTTTACTAACTCTTGCTAATTTGTGTTTGCCTGTACAGTGCATTCTGCAGCATTAAAAAAATTAAAATTATGCTGCACACTGATAGCATATGCCCCGACTGTCAATTCACCTCTTAATAGATACTCCTTATTCACTTTTAGGCTATAATCACAGGAATGGCCGCCAACGCTAACGTAGACTGAAACATTCTTACCCGCTGTGACAAACTCGGACTCCTAAACGCAAAACAAAAACGGACAATGATATGAATTTGAGTTACAAGTAACTATAAAGAATGAAAATAAACAGTTCACATGGAATGACATGAAAGGCTACTAAATCAAAACATAAAATGAAATAAATCCCAGCATTTTTTCACAACTTTCATTAGATAAAGCTGTTTTTTATATCCGTTTCATTCGTATTTTTTCCAATCAACTGTAATTGTAACGGTTTATATATACAAATACAGTTAAATTTTGTCACTCTCTCTACACGCAAGTTATCATTATTTTCTTAGAGAATGCTCACATATTGTACAATTTACCTTAAAGACGTCGAGAACTTGGACAGTATATTCCAGATTAGATCCCGGAAGCGGAAGTGGGTATCCAATTCCAGCTTCCAGTTTGACGTGTCTTTTAGAGCTGACAACATAGCCTCTGATAACTGAAAAAAAACATCATTGCTCATTATAGAATATCAATAATATTGAATTAAAACGGTAGAGACTTAAAAAACGGAGAAAAAAATAGTGCAATAGCCTACATAAACGATAACGTACCGTTTTAATCATCGTTAAGAAATTATTTTACAATTTAAAACAATGTGCTATCGCATGTTGTCAAGTACCCATATCTTGTTTATATTTAGTAATATCGACATCAGCCCCAATTCTCATAAAAAAAACTTAAGTCAGTTAATTTAACACTGTTCCTTTTAGGGTAAGATGTGAGCATGTGACCGTGTAACGTTTGTAACAAAGACGTTAGGCACTTAAACTGACTTTTTTCTAAATTGGAGTTAGGCACTTTCATTTGAGAAGTTGAATCGTTTTTAAGTTCTGAAGTGGGAAAGATGAGAAGCTTCAAGAGAAAATATGACTTTGAAACACAAACTCATATAGTATATAATATATAATTTAGATTACATACTATAGTATATAGGGGCCTAGTATATAATCTAAAATGGATATTACCGATGTCAGGGTTGTTGCGACAAAACCAGTCGTCCAATTGGCCCCACTTGGGTTTAGGGGTGGTGGGAACAGACCCAGGCTTGATGAATTCAAGTTTGGGCGCTACCATCTTGATGGGTACGCAGGAACAGGCCGATCCCGGCTGGGCCAACCATCCTAGAAATAACGTCAGAGTGGTAAATAATAGTATTATTTATATTTTTATACCACATTCCATTAGAATGATCTTCAATGCACTTCACAATTATATCATATAAATTCTTAATTATAATACTAAATTGGCGCAAACGTAGTCTACACATTTTGGGGTTAACAAAATTACGAGAGAGAAGGAAGGAGAAAATAAACAATGAGAAAAAGGATTGAGACATAGTACGCAATTACACTGTACACAGAAAAATAGAGAAGGAAATGCAAAAAAAAAAAAAAAAAAAAAACTCGCACAGCGAAAAAACTAGAGAGAAACTATTACGCAAAGAAGTATATTGTTGACAGAAGATTGTGGTTGACTCTATAGCTTACCCAAGAGAACCTGCATACCCAGAACAGCGAATGTCATATATGTCATTGCCATATCTTGTGTCTGTGGTGAATTGAACGAAACTGAAATGCAAGTTACAAGACTGTTTAGTGAAAAGAAAAGGGAAGATGGATGAGTGTACCAGAGAACGAGAGAGCGAGATTTAATTGTCTTAGTTGATCAAAATCGAGAGAACATTTTTTTTCGGAGAAAGACATATCTAATTATCATAGTCGATGAAAATTAAGAAAACAAGTGTTTTTGATCAGAGAGAGAGAGAGAGAATCACAAATACTCTAAATAATTATTTACCTGTTTCTTATTGTGCTTCCTTCCACAAAATTCCAGCTCTTTTTCCAATGCTTCTAAAAATCAGCGAGCAACCTTTGTCGGTATAAAAACAATGCCTACAACTTAACTGAAAACTTGCATATACATATATAGCTACTGCTACGCCGCACCTTGTAAACGTTAATCTTGCTTTGTGACAAGAAGTCACGATTTGTACAACACGGTCACGATTTCAACTTGTTTTTGCTTCCTTTAAAGAGAGCTATTAATAACCTCGCTCTCTTCCTTGCGCAAATGTCTTCATAAACCATTCTATTAATAGCACAGCATAATTTATCGAGATGAGGTAGGATGCTAAAGTGTCATGAACAGCATAGATACGCTGCTGTGACGGGCATATTAGAGGTACTCAATTACAGATGCCCTCTGTGTTGACGTTGCTGGTGACGTCATTTCTATGCAAAAACCCTCGCTGGTCACAGTGAAGAAATGTACACATATTTAGCCGATGGAATATTTGGTGAAAATATTTTTGCGGCCCTAGTAAAGGGTATGTGAAAGTGAAATTATGCACTAGCAATTTGGAGTTAAGGTTCGGTTGACAAATGTATAGGGAAAATCTTTCCTCAGCTTTATTTTACTGCTTTTTTTATTCCAATAGTTGCGTGTTAACGAGGCATTACCCTTAAAGCCAGGATAGAAGATTACTTTGGATCCTTCCTCTTAGTTAAATCAAGGCTGAATATTTTATTGCATCCCCATCTTTGTCACGTTGTTGATGTTATTATAATATTTTTAATTTCCGTAGTTACGTGTTAACGACGCATTACCCTTGAAGCTAGGATAGAAGATTACCTTGGATAATACCATTAGTTTAATCACGGCTGATTTTTTATTGCGGCATTACCTTTATCACGGAGTAGATGCTAACAGCCTAAAAATAACAATGGGCGAATTTTAACTAATAATTTGAGGATAGGTCCCCTTGTTGATCTTGTTTGTAATCCATGGTTTAATTAAACAATTAATTAATAATGGAATTGAGCTGGCTTGACACAGGACTTGAGAGCTTTTTTTCTATTTTTGTTTCCATACATATATATTTCCATATGCGATCATTATTTATTATGGCACCAAAAGAAAGGAATGGTTATAAAGAAAGAAAACATGGATGGCGTCCCGCTCTGATTAAGGGAGACTAAAAAACGAATTCGAAAAGAATTGTCTTGAAGTTGTATGGTCCGCTAAATTTATAGGTAAGCAAAATGTGCATATATGCTACATCATGGCAGAACATCTATTTACAATTACGTAATTTGAATGGGTGTGATTTTAAATCAGAAATAACACTTTCGCTCCTTTCATTAACTCCAAATTCATCAGAATGCACATAACTCTGATAATTTATGACTGAAAATTTCATTGATATGCGAAATTGGTAATATTTAAAGTTTTCAGCTCACGACAAAGTAACCCCCCCCCCCCCCCCCATTTGGCACTATTTAATGTGATGAGGAACGCGGGTGGTTTACTACTTGTTTTTCGCTGTCATGGCTAACAATGCATCTTGCGTTCACAGCATAACAACAATACAAACATACATACAAACAAACAAATAAGTAAATAAATAAATAAAGGAAAGGAAGGAACGTATTGTCCATTCTTTTTTTTAACAAATAGCAATTTAAATGTTTTCTTTTACTGTTGAATCCGGTATTTTATATTAGAAAACGGAAAAAGGCTTGACCCTTTTGACGAACTCTCCATTTTTTCCCTAGAATGATGGTTCGAAGTTCGACGTCTCAGATATTAAACACTCAATCCAATGGCAAACAGGAAATAGGCCGAATGCCCAGCATGTACAGCTTCTTGCTTTGTTGAAAAACTTCCACATTTCCATGTACACAGTTGTATATTAAGCCGGTAATGGACTGCTCTTATGTCGTCCACTATCATGTATCATATGCATGTGTTTGAAATATGCTGAATAGTTTCCACGCCATCCGGACGCATTCCCTTTTCTGTTTTTCAGAAAATTCTCAGTCGTGAACACAGTTTGTATTTTGCCGCTAGTGTTTCTCTCTGAGCCCCTGCACGCGCAAGAAGACTCCGACCAGCACGACACAGAGAACGTCTGATAATGAAATAAATATAACCTTAATGCACTAAAATTACAGCTTTATCATTTTGAACTGTTTAATGGTATATGTTCTGAGTTGTCTGTAGATCTATTACGTAGTTTCCGGTTCCGGAGAAGAATAGTGATGCCGTACCCCGTGCCAGCCAAAAGGAACACCCCAAGGTTCAGGTGGTAAACCAAATGATATGATCCCGTGAGGTCATATATAAAACCTGGAATAATAAAAATAGTAAAAAGGGAACCTAGAATATAAAGCAGTGTATTAAGCTACCAATTAATGTGGCGTGTTATACAGTTATGAGATAAAAGAATTTTAAAAATTGATGAATAGTAAATAACAATGTTAAAATGATGATGAAATAAGTGGTAGAAGTTTCCGCACACACCCTAAGCACTTAATTATGCTATTTTCATTGTCCATTTTTCATTCATCTTTAACAGCGAGCAATATAATTATTTATTTATTTAGTTTGTTTTATTTGTTTATTATTCAGCTATTAATTCATTTACTTATTTATTTCCACCTATTTTATTTATTTATTTATTTATTTATTTATTTATTTATTTATTTATTTATTTATTTGTTTGTTTGCTAGTTTGTCTGCTTGTTTGTTTTTCTGTGTACCTTACCTGACAATCCTAAGCCAACAATAACCCCTATACCGTTCCCAACGCGACTAAATGAGAAGATCTCATGGGCATACCAGCCGTCCAGTACCTCACTGCTTGATGCAAAAATACCGGCAGACATCAAACCTGCCGTAAAACCAGCCACTGAAACAAAAATATAAATAAATAAATAAACAAACAAAAAACAAATAGAAACAAACAAACAAATAAATAAATAAATAAATGGAATAGATAAAATTAATTTTTCAATTGATTAATTATATTATGTTATATTATATTATTCATAACTTGATTAATAGCTTGTTATGCTAAATATTTTACCATCGAATGCATCAAGTCAAAAACTCGGCCCCAATACCATCCCCACCCCACCCCAGCCCACCCTAACCCCATCCCCACCCCAGCCCACCCCACCCCAGCCCACCCTAACCCCATCCCCACCCCAGCCCACCCGACTCCGCTTATGAATAGCGCGGGTATTTCACAAATCTGTTCAAATATGTGTCCTGGCCTACCTAAGGCGAAAATCACCATCTGGTAATACTGCACGGCAAACCCAGCGGCAAAGTTCTCCAGTCCAAGCAGCACGCTGCAGACGATGTTGACGTACATGATTCGTCCCTTAAATAACTTGTCACCCAGTAGGGAGGTGAAGAGACGACCGCAGAGGTCCGCCGTTGAGTAAATTGTGACCACTGCAGCAGCCGACATGCTTGGCACCCCGAGGTTTTGTAAGTGCTTCACCTAAAAAATGAAGCACGAGAATTTAATTAATTTTTAAGTACTCAGTGTCAAGAAATGATCTGTTGATCTTGGTAGTAGGGCAATGTCGTCATTGCGACGTCATCTCGCCACACTGACGTCACGACGGTGACGAAATTACGTCATCTGGAATGAATATATTGTCGACAACTATTTGACAGACGACTGAAATTTTATTCTGAAATGAAATCACAAACTTTCAATGCCAGTTCTGTGTCACTAGAGATAATAGAAGTGGTATTTTACTATTACTTCTTCTACTACTTCTACTTTCACTACTTCTTTGATGAACCATTCATTGTTACTGTTGCCACTCTGTCTGTTCCATGTAAAAATACTTTTAAAAAATTCACTTACTAAAATAAATACTGGGGTAAATAGCGCCATGGATCTCAGCCCCATACTTAACACATACACGCTTCCACTGACTAGCACCAGCCAAATTGGAGGGTTGGCCAACGGCTCAACAGCACCACCACTTGAATCATCTTCGTTTGAACTTTGCCCATCTCCGCTAGTTGGAGCCTCCTGCTGGACCACTTTTAGTTCGCCATTCTCCCGAAAGGTGGCCATAGCTGACATGCCCACAACGAATGTCAGGATGGAGATGAATGCGTAGGTATTTCGCCACCCAATAGTGTGGATAAGAGCTTGTGTGCACGGGTTGAATATTAGTGAACCTGGAAATAATATAGACCATCATGGAATGAAGTGTTGGGTACATACATGTAGGCATGTTTTCTTGGTTGACAACTCAAATTACAGTGTATGTTCCACACCCGAATAACTGCATTTTATGTACACACCTTAAACTTAAGGGAGATTTTTATTTTAGGACACATACCTTAATTGTATGGCAATTAATTTTCAGTTTAGTATACATACCCAAACTGAATGACAGAGTCGGCAAGCTGGACGTCAGCACATAATACTTGTGGTCCTTGGTAAAGTACTCCGACAGCAAAAACCAAGGGGGGTTGTTGGCCAACAACGTCCCGCACCCAACCATGATGCCATAGGTCATAAACATCTCCTCGGGATGGTCCACCGTGCCGGTGAGGGCTGTCCCAAGGGAAATGGCGGAGACGCCGATAAAGACGGTCTTCCGGGCCCCGAAGCAGCGTTTCATGACCAGGGCTAGCGGCGTCCCGATGCTGGTGATGCCGTACGCCGTAGCGCCTATGGTGTCTACAGTAAAATAGAATAGAATATGATAGGGTAGGATATAACAGAATAGGATAGAGTAGAACAAAACAAAACAAAACAGAATATAATAGAATAGAGTGGAATGGGGTGAATAAGATTAGAATAGATAGAACGGAGTATACCAGAACAGAATAGAATAGAATAAAGTGAATGAATTAGACTGGAATGAAATATATTAGAGCAAAAACACAGAATAGAGTTGAATAGAATATTTCTTATTCATACAGAGAATGAGTTGGCATTTCCTGTGGTCTTTCAATGAAATGTCCAATATCTATACTAAAAAGGTGTTTTCAGGCAAAAAGTAAAGGAATAATGTAACAAAATTTTACCATACTCATTACAAACCTGCATTGCTTTTCTTTTTAAATTTTTTTATGTTTAATTACTTTGGCCGTGGTTAAATAGGCCACTTAGGTATATAAAAATGATAAAGCAAAAGATAGAGAATACCCAAACAGCTTTTGTGCCCCCCACTATGCAAGAAAAATACAAAAATGAAAATAAATTTTAAAAATTTACAAACAGCGTGAAACAATTAAAGGGATAATAACTCTTCGTTTTGGCCAAAAAATGAATGTTCCTGGAGTAAATAATTTTCCCATACTAACCAATGGTTAATGAATGCATTTCTACATTGAAAGTTAGTCCCTTTTTTTTTTTTTTTTTTCTAAAAAGTTTGTTTTTTTGTTGAAATTTCTTAAGAGATTATAACAGAGTATAGCCATCAATGGAGGTCACGTGATCTAAAGACAAGCTCAGATATCGAAATAATAGCTATAACTGCCGTTTTTGTGGTACAACAGAATATATTTAATTTCTATGAGTTGTTTACAATGTTTTTATTGTGAAATATAGATCTCATACGAAGAGTTATCCCTTTAAGCGATTAATGTCATGCTAAATGCTCATGGTTGACTAAAATTGTACGAAATAAGAAGATAAAGAAGAAAGTTTACCTAGAAAAGCCATCTTGGAAGTAGGAAACAATGCTTTGAAAATACCAAGAAACTCTCCGAATGACGTCACGATTCCGTTGTTCACGGTACGCATGACGACAGCGCTGATCAAGATGACCCAGCCCCAAGAGGCCACTTCGACACATCGGCCCATGTTTGGGAGCGTCTCTCAAGGAGCGCCACCTATTTTATCTGTAATTGAATAAATAACTTATGTAATATTAAAATTAGTTGCATGATACATCTCACTGATAGGGTGTCCTAGTAGACTTTTAATCGATAAAGCGACAATGATGGTGATGGTTCGCTACAAAAAATTGGAAGCTAATATGGGTACATGTAGATAAGAAATAACGTCATCTTGAAAGAGGCACTCCAAGCCACATATTAATGACCCTACCTACATGTAGTAACAACGAGTTCTACGGTATAGTCTGTGTGACATATGTAGGAAGAACGATTCCTGCGATGCTTTTAACATATAGTAATTTTCAAAATCAATTTCACACACTGGACAATAGAAGTGTCACCCCCTGAATCAGAGTAATTAAAGTCATTAACCTGAAGAGGCGGAATATAAGCAATGTCAGAATATCAATACTGTTGAATTTTTCAGTCAGAAGCGTTTCTTTTGTGAAATTTGATGTTAATAAAATGATACCAGGAACATACCATTCCACAGTCATTTATCTCCCCCAAAGTATTGGTTCAGTAGGGGTGACACTTCTATTGGCCAGTGTGTGTAACAAAGTTCAAATCCGAATAGAAAACGCAATTCGGTTCACTACCGAGCAACGTACAGCTTTTGAAACAAGAACATGCCTATTAATTGCTCTGTCCTTGATTAACACATATCCATACCAAACCAAGCCTTCAATCGTGTTTTTCTAGCGGATCCATTATAAAGCACATTTAATTACAAAACTCTGAGGATATATTATATACTTTTATCAGTCTCGTGATCTAGCCTGGCGTGAGATCTAGCTCATGACAGGAAATTAACTTCATTTTACTAAGATCACTCACTTGGCAGCAATTAATATGGCATTATAATCGGTATCTCCTCCGTGGAGGTCATGTTTTGCCTTTGTTGACATGCTAAGTAACGTCTAACTCAAAAACGTTGAGACGGATTTTTATAAAATTTTCAGGATAGGTCGGGCATGGGTTAACGTAGATTCCACATTTTTATGATGATCCATTTGTTAATTAATAAAAGATAATGACGACTGAGATGTCTTGATGGAGAACTGCGCACTCCGAGTGCTTTTATAGTAACGCTGCTCCAGTTTTCTAGTAGGAAATTACTAAAGGTGAAACGTCCGGATGAGGACACTCCAGTTTTAATCAGATCAGCAGCAATATGACTGTACGCTCTTTTCCAAACAGAAGCGATAATGTGAATTGTGCAGGGGAGGATTAAAATAATAATAATAATAATAATAATAATAATAATAATAATAATAATAATGAATTTACTTAGCACTAAATGCTACAATTGGCAGGGCATATACTGTAAAGTAAACAATTAATAATAATAATTATTATATTAATAATAATAATAATGTTTATTGGTTTATTGAGCACTAAATGGTATGAATACATTTGCAGGCTCACTAGACTACATTACTTACACAATATATAAATACATATAAATATATTAACAATTTATACATCAGTTACCCCCGAATCAAACTATCAAGGCAATTCCCGCAGGGAACCGCAGTAGATACTCCAGCGCAGTAGACTACTGCAATCATACTGCAAACATGCTTCAAATCTGCTTCGATTTGGGAGCTAATTAGCATATTTGAAATGTCATCATATTTGTCTGTCATGCTGCTAATCTACTGCATTAATGCTCCTCTCTGTACAAACCTATGTACTTTTTGGAGTAGAATTGCAATAGGCTATGCTGCATTTCTACTGCAAATATGCTCCACACCACTACTGCGTTAATGTTTTTTGCTACTTCGATACTACTGCATTTTCGTGGGGAATTAACACTACAGGTATGCAGAGACGCAGGTCACCAAGTTATCTCTTATAATAACTCCGATAAATTTGGATATTTTTTTTAAACAAAGGTGGTAGTGTGGTGCGTGGAAATCAACCGTTTTTAGGAGCATGCTGTATCTAACTCAGAGTGTAGTAGTGATAGTAGGTAAAGAATTCCGTAAATATCGACGTTCCTCCAACAGCTGTTATTTACTGGTACGCAAAGTGTATGTGATGCTGCTTTGCCTTATTACATTAACGATCTCCTATGCCCACAGAAAAGTTAAAAATGAATATTGCTATCCCTTGACTTACATGTAGCTAGATGAAAAAAAACAGGCGTTAGATATTTATAAGGCACAAAAATCCCTCAAATTATTTACCTTGAGAAAATTACTTCTGCAAACATGTGTTTGAGTTCCATACTGTGTTTTCAGTTTTACCGCCACGAGTAAAATTCAGCAGTCTCCACCTCTATTACGAGAGGTGTAGAAAAATGTGGAAAACAAGAACTCGAAAATGGGATTTAAATACGGTGTAATTGGGCGATTGAAGGGAAGGCGATGAAACATCCAGGGAAATTGATGCTCTCGCCTGTAAATGTCTTACGCTCACCGAGTGCATTTATCGTAGTTCAGTCCCCTAAGGCCAAAGTCAACCATTCAGTAGGGTGTTCGTAACCCTAAGTTCATCAACCTTATTTGACTTAATTGAGTTAAACTGCAATGCGAGGTGTGTCGTTTAATGATTATTGGGAGCCACGGAGCATCTGGACAATTTTGTTTTGACTGAAATTGGATTGAATAAGCTAGCATTAGTCATATCAGGGTTGTGAATTGACTGGGTAACCCTGCAATTATTATTCATAGCCAGGGCCCTTCATATTATCCATTGTACCCAGTATGTCGTGACGGGTCCTTGGTCCTAGATACTGCGTGGACTGTAGCGTAACGTGCGCGTGCACGCATGAACTGCTTAACACACGCATGCATGCATAAACATATCTTTTTACAATTCGCTGGCATTGTGCGAGTCTTCGGGCAGCCGATCGTATTTCTGTGGATTTTTTTTTTCTTTTTGTTAGGTGGATTCAGTCATATTACATATTATAACGCCATTGTATGCTTTACCTCTGCCAGTCTGTCTAAATCATGAATGCCTGCATTGTTGATGGAATTGGATCTATTTAAGGAGGGATTTAGATAATACAGGTCATGCAACCTGGCTTTTTTGTCGACCAACCGCGATTTAATTCCCGCAGTCAACGTCCCCACTTAGGGTCTGTTCTAGAAAATATATTTAAGGTAAAATATATGTGGGAGTTGAAAATGAGACAATTTCAAAGCGTGGTGTGGTTTCGCTTACGGCTTGTAATAATTTTCGCAAAAGTGACTTATACTCTAAATTCTTAATCCCATCATTATCCCCAAAACAGCGGTCACAGCAGTTATTTTGGAATCTATCTAGCTATCTATCTATCTATCTATCTATATGTAGGTTCTAAACAGCAAACTGTGTTTGCCATCAGATCATGTGGGCCTAAAAAGATGGCTATACCTCCCTAATATAATATCTAAAGAGATTATTACATAAAAATTTTTGATTAAAAAAAACATGGATTCATAAATTATTGGCAAATCGTCGTTTACCCCATGAAATTCCCTTTTTTATCAAAACGAACATTTGTTGCCAATTTAAAAGTTTACTGATCTACCAGGGTGTTTTTTGCCTTAAATTAATTTCACTACGACTATGTAGATCTATAACTACAATAATGAAAATAGAAATAACGTAGAGAATATGGACATTGACGGTTTGTTGGTTTTGTACTATAAATGCCTATGTTGCCCCTACCTTTTGTGGCGCCCTAAGGTTAGTATAACAGAGAAGAAAATGATGTCTCGATCGCCATTTCCAACAATAGGTTTTGGCTGAGCTCTAAAGAAAAAGGTGAACGACTGGGAAGGGCCTTTGCCTCAGGAAAAAAATTGTAAATGGTAGAGCACAAATAACGTACACAAACATGACGCTTTTTAAACGTATAAAATATGTGGGGACGGTAGGACTGAAAATTGTGGTGTTTGCACTGCTAAGTAAATAAACTCAGCTGAATACCTGAATAAGTTCAACAATATTATACATTGCGGATTTAGGGGGGAGAGTGTCAGGGGGGTCCTAACCGCCCCACCCCTTCGGCCTCTGGAAAAAAATCACACCAATATTCCCCTCTTGCTATTAGAATTTTGAGGAGCTGAGTCATAGTTCTAAACTGCACCAAATGTCACAGAACCTCTCCAAAACACCGAACCCCACACCAAAGGGTCAAGGGTCGGCTTCGTATCTGAGGTCTGTCATTCTTAAAAAACTGGACCCCCCCCCCCTTCAAATAATCCTGGATTCGCCCCTGTCATAAGACTGCTAAAATGACTTGCATTTTTGTGAACCCGCGTGTAAGAGAAAGTAAATCTAACGACCACGCCTTAAATATTCTGCCGTGTTTATGAACAGCAGTGCCGTTATAACAATATTAATAATGATATTTGCGTCTCATGTTTGAAAATAAACCCGGCCATAATAAAGGTTACGAGAGACTGAAACATGTGAAAGTACAACTGAAATTCACAAAAAGTACTTTGATGTAAGTTACTGATCAGTTAAACAAATAAAAAAGAGGGTTTATATAAAAGCTTTTCAATCCCCCTCTTCTGTATTAAATTCACTTCTTCTAAACATCACAACGTGTACCATTTGCTGTCTTTAGTTGCATCATTTTGCGAGGGAAATATAGACTTTTCAGTGTCATTAAGTACATTATAATGTTTTTAAATAGAATAGAAAAGTTAAAATATCTTCCCTAATGTCTCTTTATGGATTGTAATTAATCAAAATTGTTTCTCGCCCTCTACTTCACTGGATTTACATTGTATGCATGATACATAAATGCTCATACAACGGTGTATTAGATTAACTCCCAGTTTGTATGTGTACTCTGTCTATATTTTATGCATCTCTCTCTCTCTCTCTCTCTCTCTCTCTCTCTCTGTCTGTCTGTCTATCCATGTAGGTTTTAAACAACAAATTACTACTCCAATATATAAAGTAATTTCCCTTACCTCGGCGTCAGTAAGTTCCCAAGACGAGTGGTCGCTTGCTTTAAGACCAAGTACCAAAATGGCACAGCATGAGACACAAATATTGCCACCCAGACCCGCAGTCGAGGTGGTTCAGCACACTACTAGATATTATTACATGATCTACTCATCTCCAGTCGTATCAGCCGTATTGCAGCCACTGTTGCAGCGTCTTCGTGATTAAGCCCGTCTGTTAATCTAATATTCGATGCATGCGACGCAGGAGTGAGAGTTAAGTCTGAGCGCAAGAGTAATTGTGCATGTTATTTGTTATTTATTATAGACGTGATTGAGAAGGTGAAAATAATTCCCTTTTAGGGCGAGCGTAGGCAGGACTGAATAACAAGCGGTTTGCTTTTGTTGTCCAATTGAAAGAGCTTCTTTGATTATGTATAGAACGCCGAAAGAGGGCGCGCAGCGAGGTGACCAAGGTCATGATAAAAGCTCAAGGGTAAACTAGTTCGTCAGGTTTATCCCTTCTTTCTAAAATGAACGAAAAACGATATTCTTCGAGCAAACTTTCGGCTGCCTTATTATTCTCACTTTTAGAAAAGAAATAACGTTAAAATTGGTATGAGTTTAAACTGGAAGGGCAGTTTAAAGTTAATTATCACAAGTATTGCAGGGGTGGATCCAAGAACGGGGGGGGGGGGGGGGGGTCAACGATTTCTGGAAACCTGCCAGGATTATAAAAAAAAAGCATTGCCATGCTTTCAGTAACTATTTATAACACTACCAAACTGCCACATAAATTTCGGCTAGGTCCAAGAGACGGTGAGTTTTCAGAATGCAGTTCAAGTAGCTATGCTTAATTAATTGTAGTGATTTTTAGCATTTTACTTTATTTATTTCATTTTTATTTTATTTTATTTTATATTTTATTTTTATTTTTATAGCCCGTGTTATCGAGAACTTTACCTGTTCACGGATGAACTAAAATTATGTTTTATCTTCTGCAGTATTGTTTATTGGAATTTTCAGTAGAAATGAAATAAAACAAATAACTGTTGTATTAAAAAGCACATGATAAACCTCAAATTGTTCTCTATGCTATCACTGTTGAGTGTGGCACTTGCACGACAGTCAATACTACCACTGATAAACTCCACTGCACAAAGTCCGCGTTATAACTTCTTTTACTGCATTTTTATGTCTCCTTCATCCCAGAAAACCATAAACTTTCATAGTCCAATCCACAATATAAAAGAAGGCAGCATAGAATATCGATTGTTCGAGATTTGCACAAACAAGGTCGCTTTTATCATATAGCCCCAATATTGTATAATCTTAAACAATTTATGCAATGTAACAAACTGTTGCCTGTATTAAGTGTTATGGCCTTAGGGATAAAATATATATCAAATATTCAATAAGACACATCATCCTAAGAGTGCATTCCCAGAGATTTAGATCGATCCATCCTGATCGACATAACTCCCTGGGGGTTCACGCTTAATTGCAGTCAGCCGAGCGCGCACGACAGTTAATTACCCCCTTACAGCTTTTAGTAGACGGGACAGACGTGTCAGCCGGCTAAGCTAACAGTAATCTAGTGAGACTCCCCACAGGAATAGATCGATCTAAAATCTGTGGGAATGGGGTCTAAGGGACTATTATCTTTACTGGTGACCAAGCGCACTTAATAAGGAAGACCCCACAAAGGTATGCTGTCACACTTGCAATGCTAATTTAATCCCATGTGCAGCGTCCACGTTTTTATAGGGTCACCTGTAGAAGTCAGCTCTGCAGTATATTATTTTTTTTTACTCAAGATAAGCTGATTTGATATTTAGCAACATGAAAATTATACTACGTGCACGCTCGCGCGAGCTATGAATTCATCGTTTTAACATCGTTACTCATGGGCAGTACGCTTTTTTGACACCAATTTAACAACTAATCCTAATTAATTCCAACAGTAGTTAACATGTTTTTTATTTAAACCAAGTAACAACATTACTTGGGCCCTAGGATTCCTGAGCTTGAAGTTTTAATTGGATATATTGACTTATATTGCCAGGCATTAGGCTAAAGGTCAGTTTTAGTGAAGTATGGTGCTCTTCTCTGCCTCTCCCAAGGGCCCATGCGCATTATTCATAATGATAGCTTTATCAATCCCGACATATCATGTTCCTAGCCGTTAATTGTTTGTGATGGCAAAACTGTTTGCGGTGCAAAATGCCTTGTGACATTTTTCTTTTGTTGCAAAATGCGTTTGGTTGCAATATGCCCTCTACAAGACAACATGATCCCCGAAGAAGACGATTCGAAGACACTATTTGTGTACTTAAATCACACTCGCATACTATCAAAGCGGGAATCATCTACAGGTACAGGGGGGTACCTGTACATCGTGTGCATTTGTTTATTAAGAACACTACATTGTGATAAAACAGCACTTGCTAAGACAGGACTTGTCCTAGCTTGTACTTTTTATGAGGACCTGGAGTAATTTTTTCACTAGGTATTTACAGATGTTTCTCTGGCTTCTAATTCTGTGCACGTTTATGTACTGACCTGGGAGTGGGAGAGGTTGATACATTTTTTTACAATTAGAAGCAAAAACAGGAAAATTATGTCTGACTGTACCCATCCTGCAGACGGTCTTTTTAAATTTCTTATCGAGTAGCTGTAGACTTAAGTTTTAAAGGATCCTGAAGGTTTTTAAAGAGTTTATAACCATCTGCTGTTTCTCATTTAACAACAAAAATAGAATTTTTAGCAAATATATCTAAAAAAAACTATATTGTTATCTTCTACTTTATTCACTTTACCCGAATAGCAATCCAATTCCGTTAAATGTGAATTTTAATTTATACACCAATGGCTGAATTAACTTTATCTTATCTTGACCGAGCAGCGAGAAGTTTTGCGTGATGTCATCACCCGGCTGACCTTAGGAAGAGAATAGTGTATCCTTTTTTTGCCTGAAATCTGATCTGAAAACACTACTTTGGCTTGTCAAGTAAGTAAAGAGAACAGTGACCACTTCATATTACATTATCAATATGTATTTTGCCTAGTGAGGGCCATTTACTCATAACAATTGTTTATTTTTAGTACACATACGCAAAAAAACCCATATAGAAATAATGCATTTAGCAATTCATTTTTTTTTCATCATATGATGTTGATTTTCATTATTTTTATACAGCGTTGAAACACATACATTGAGGAGTCCATATTCTCTAGGAAAAAATTTTTAAAAAATTAAAAATGTAGCAAAAATGTTCATGGGTGAATAAACTAGGTCTCAGTATATTGGTTTTTAACTCTTTTACTTGCTTGCTTTTTGATCTGCTTGCATAAAAATTCTAAATTGACAAATATTGTGCAAAATCGTAAGAGAGACTTGAACAAAAGTAGGAATACCACTAGTTCATTCTTTTATATTTCATCATTAAATTCGTCTACTAAACGGATCTGTTTCTGCATATGATATACATTTTTCTCTTTCTCTCTCTCAAAAGAAACGATGATATTTTAAGTTTCACATATGTAACTCTCACATTCCATCATTTAATTTTACGTGCACGTTATAACAAAACTGAGAATATACTTCTACTCAGGTTCTTATTGCACTCAGATAAAGTGGTTACTGATTTGAAGTTTAAACCTCATTTCATTTACTTGGACTATTGCTGATTTTCTTGCAGAAAAGTAGAGTAAGAGTTTGCTATAAAAGTTAAGACGAATTGTCGGACTATAATTTCTTTGTGAATCATGTCCAGGAAGGTCATAATCAAACTATAACAACCCCCTGCCTCGAGTGACGGTTTCTGGAGGCAAGTACCATAATAATACCCACTCGACCGATTATCATAAAATTCATGTGCTACTAGCAATCCTCAGTTGTTTTTCGTCAAGAGTCGCTTTTCCATTTCTGTAGCTTCTTCTCTCATTTTCAATGCGTCATTGGCCTTTCCCGAATCTTGTAGAAGCTCTGCAATTTCACGAAGACTTTTGACAGTCACATCATTATCTCCAAGCATTTTGCGTTCCATTTCTAGACCCCTATCATGCATTTCGAGACTCCCTTCAATGTCCCCCGAAAGTTTCATTTCTCTTGCTACGTCGTGGATGACAGAAGCTGTATCTTTGGTATCTCCCTGAATTTGTTCATTGATACGCAGTGCTTTTTCAAATGCAGCAAGGGCATCTTTGTGGTTTCCTTTTGCTGATTTGACACGAGCTAGCTCACGTAATACATGTACTATGTGGAGGTTGTTTTCTCCAAGCGTTTTTCTCATTATAGTCAAAGCTCTTAATTGGTCCTCCTCAGCACCATTTGTATCACCCAATTTCAGCTTTACCATGCCAATGTTACTGAGTGCTATAGCGGTTTGAAGGTGTTCGCCATATATGGTCTCCTTAAGCCCAAGGCATCGGTTGTACAGTGGCAATGCCTCTGTCGGTTTTTCTATAAATTGCAAGGCCAGTGCTGCGTTGTTCAAGGCTTTGTCGTCGATACCACCATTCTTGCCATCAAATGCAGGATTTAAGCGAAATATATCTTTCAGGGTGTCCATAACAGCCTCACGCTCCCCTTGTTTTGCCTTCACCACAGCCTTCATAGCCTGTGCGCGGTACTTCAGACGTTGGTCGGAGTAATCTACTGCTATTGACATGCACTTCTCGATCATGCTTAACTGTTCGGCATATTTTCCATCCCTAAAAAGTTGATACGTAAGGGAATAGTAGCTTTCATAATAGTCTTTGTAATCGCTCACCACTGCCATGCTCTCATACATTTGAATTGCAGTTTTCAAGAATTCTGTTGAAGATGGTAGGTTCGCAAGTAGGTAGTTCACGTATCCAATATAATAATGTATGGAGGCAACATCAAATTGCTGTGCCGTCGGTTCTTTCTGATACATATTCAAAAGGCATTCAAAGCACCTCACGGAATCAGCGTATCTTGCTACGTGCATCAGGCCTATTGCAAGGATCTTCACCACGTGATGGGTAGCCAGCTTCAACTCCCGCGACAACGAGTCGAAAAAAGCAATGCATTGGACAAAATTTTCCTTACTACCGTCGAATAGTTCACTTGCTTTACGCACATTACGCTTTGTGAGATCATCTACTTTATCATCAGTCAGTGAATGCAAAGTCGCTATAGGCGCCTCCATGAAACGGATGAAATGTTCCATATACATGTTTTTACATGTATCATCTTTGGCAGTTTCGTGTTGTGCAAAAGCTTGTATAAGGCTGTGCATCTCATACGTCTGACTTGTTTCATCATA